TCGAAGGTGTAAATTAAGATTCGAGAGAACTTTTAGGGTACAATCTGTGATAATCCTAACAAATATCCTTACAATTGATAATTTGTAGTAGCATTTAGCTCTTTATCAGTCCTAAAATTTGAACATTTTCAAACAATGTCCAACATTAATGTTTCCTTCCTATTTTCTTGATTGCTCTTGTGGGTTTATGTTCGATTTTATTGGGTGTCGATCTTGATGTCCTCCCTGCATTTTCTGTCCTTTTCTTTGAAAATTTGGAGATTACAAGTCCAAGAAAGATTACCAGAATGTTTTTATCTCAAGTTAAAAGAATGGTGTTGGGTCGGCCTGAGGTATTCTTCTACCTTGCATCATTTACAAAATTGCGGATTACTTTGTTTCAACATGTAAAACCTCATTTTTCTAACATACTGAAAATGTTGGTTGGTTCACAGATTGCTGGTTTAGGACTGTATGCAACCATTGATTTAGAGAAGGCACGGGTCGGGCGAACTAGAAAGATTAAAAATCAAAGTTCCAACCCTCGGTGGAATGAGTCCTTTCATGTTTACTGTGCCCACATGGTTTCTAGTATCATATTCACAGTAAAAGAAGATAATCTTGTTGGGGCAACATTAATTGGACGAGCTTATTTGCCTGTTCAGGAAGTTTTAAATGGCCAAGTAATCGAAAAATGGCTCGAAATATTGGATGAAGATCATAAACCTATTCCTGGAGGCTCTAGAATGCATATCAACCTACAGTTTTTCAATATAAACCAAGATAGTAATTGGTCTCAAGGAATCAAAAGTCCTACATTTGGAGGAGTCCCTTACACATTCTTCAAGCAAAGACAAGGTTGCCAAATCACACTGTATCAAGATGCCCATGTTCCGGGTGATGGATTTCCCATGTTTCTTAGTTCAGAAGGCCCGCGTTACGAGCCCCGAAGATGTTGGGAGGACATCTTTGATGCAATCAGCAATGCCAAACATTTGATTTATATAACTGGATGGTCGGTTTACACTAAAATCTCCTTGGTAAGGGATCCAACGATGCCCAAGCCAGGAGGAGAGATCATACTTGGTGAACTGTTGATAAATAAGGCAGATAAGGGGGTGAATGTCCTTATGCTTGTTTGGGATGATAGAACTTCAGTGGAGGCACTGAAGAAGGATGGTTTGATGGCTACACATGACAAAGAGACTAGAGATTACTTCCAAAACACAAAAGTTCATTGTGTGTTGTGTCCACGTAATCCAGATGATGGAAAGAGCTTATTTCAGGGACTCAAGGTTTCCACCATGTTCACTCACCATCAGAAGACGATAATTGTGGACAGTGAAATTCCGGGAGGAAGATCACAAAAGAGGAGGATTATGAGTTTTGTAGGTGGCATTGATCTTTGTGACGGGCGATATGATACTCTAGATCATCCCCTTTTTAGTACTTTGGACACCGTTCATCATGATGATTTCTATCAGCCAAACTTTTTAGGCTCTTCAATCAGAAAAGGTGGTCCCAGGGAGCCCTGGCATGATATTCATTGCCGCTTAGAAGGACCAGTTGCATGGGATGTCCTGTATAATTTTGAGCAAAGGTGGAAGAAACAAGTTGGAGATAAGTATATTTTTCCTGTAACTGAACTTGATAAATTCATTATTCGCCCTTCGCCTGTTACAACATCACAGGACCTCGAAACATGGAACGTTCAAATATTTCGATCAATTGATGGTGGGGCAGTTTTTGGCTTCCCAGAAAAACCTGTTGCTGCTGCTGCAGTAGGCCTTGTTAACGGGAAAGATAACATCATTGATCGAAGCATCCAGGATGCTTACATCCATGCCATTCGCCGAGCAAAGAACTTTATTTACATCGAAAGTCAGTATTTTGTGGGCAGCTCGTACAATTGGAAATCAGACGATATTAAGGTTGAGGACATTGGTGCATTGCATCTCATACCAAATGAGCTTTCTTTGAAAATTGTTAGCAAAATTGAAGCAGGAGAGAGGTTCACTGTCTACATTGTAATTCCAATGTGGCCAGAGGGTATACCTGAGAGCGGTTCTGTTCAAGCAATTTTAGACTGGCAAAAGAGGACAATGGAGATGATGTACACAGATATTGCTCAAGCCTTGAGTGCTAAGGGACTCACTGCAAACCTTAGGGACTACTTGACTTTTTTCTGTCTCGGGAATCTTGAGGGCCAGAAGATGGGAGAATACAAACCTCCAGAGAAACCAGATCCTGATACTGATTATAGCAGAGCTCAGCAGGCGCGTCGCTTCATGATCTATGTTCATGCAAATATGATGATAGGTAAGTATACAAATCTCTCAAAATGTTTGCATGTGCACACTGCCATTAAGTTAATTAAGAACTAAAAAATTATGACAAGAAAAATACTTCATGATGGAGTTTGATAAGATCTAATACTAAGTTTTAAAATTCTGCTCTATTTTTTCTTTGTTTTTTCTTTTGTAGTTGATGATGAATACATAATCATCGGATCAACGAACATCAACCAAAGATCAATGGATGGTGCCAGGGACTCCGAGATTGCAATGGGAGCCTATCAACCCCATCATTTAGCAACTACAAAACCAGCCAGGGGTAGAATATTCAATTTTCGTCTATCCTTATGGGGTGAGCATATGAGCATGGTGCCCGACATCTTTGTGCACCCAGAGAGTTTGGATTGTGTCCAGTTTGTTAATCGAATTGCTGATGAAAATTGGAAGTTTTACTCAACTGATACATACATCGGCAATCTTCTTGTCCATCTCCTTCGCTACCCCGTTGAAATCTCTAGCAATGGAATGATTGGTACATTGCCAGGGATTGAATTTTTTCCAGACACCAATGCCAAAATCCTTGGCACCAGGTCAGAAGATCTTCCATCAGTCCTCACTACTTAAGGCACTGTTCTAGTTACTGTCGTAGTGGTGTTAATGTTTGTAATTCTATAAGCAACTATTAACCACTTGTTTGTGTTACCTAGTAATGAACAGTCTTGTTAGCATTTGGAGGTTTATTTTATGTATTCACGTTTCCACATTTCTATGAGACCCAACCCATCTTAATGCTCTCAAATGATTATGCATGAAGAGATGATTTGGCATCTGGAGATTCTATTGATAGATAGATGGATTAAAACTCCGAAATTAGATTTGATCAGAGTAATGGATTTGTTTGAAGTGTCGTATCACAACATTTCATGCCAAAATTTACCGAACTCAAATTGGAACCATTTGTTTGTGTGAATATTTGGGTTTGTGTCATGTTATCTGATATGGATCATCGAGAATCCGACAAGTATCGTATCCAGAATGTCATCAACAAAGAGCTAATACTTGAATTGTTCATTCATTAATTGGTGATCTTGTAGTCAGTTGAATTTGTGGAAGGGCTTTGTTAAGATAAAGTTGGTGAATTATGAGAGATAAAGCTGGTGAATTATTCATTTTAATTGATTGTTGAATTTGACTATTTTACATACATTTGTTTATCTAATGGGTTTGTGTGTCAGATTGAGGAGTGTAAGCATGAATCGATCAATTAATTGACAAATGAATGAATTAGGTTATTAATTAGGCGTAATTTCTACAAAAAGGAGTGCTTAAGACCTATTAACCCTACTCTAGGTCTACCTAGGTAGACTCCACAAGCGTTTTGGGGCGATCCAACTCGCACTCTCAATTAGTATCAAAGCATCAGTACCCCGAGAAGCACTTTGTATGTATTTCTGAGAGTTTTGACCTAGTTTGTGTTTGCTTGAGGTTCTTCATAACAATGAGTTTGTTATTGATGGATACCCAATGAGAAGGTGGCTCAATATCAAGACCTCTTTTGTTTGATGGAACCAACTATGTCTATTGAAAGGCTAGAATGAGAGCATTCTTTAAGTTCATCCATGAGTATGAGTGTTGAACACCCAATGGGGATGGAAACCTCCTACCGAGACCACTGAGGCAGGCGAGATTGCAAAACCTTGTTAACAAATAGACAAGGATGATTGGGGTGAGTGGTTAGAACTCGAAATGATCGAATGTGATATTCAATGTCATGTCTCCAAATGAGTTCCAGAGAATCTGTACGTGTGAGACTTCCAAAGAAGTATGAGGTGAAAAGTCTTATTTGTGACACCCATATAGTTTGTGTCTGACCCAACATAGTGCTTGCCATTGTTCATTCTTCTTTGAAGCCGCAAAATGAGAGTGAGGCAGTAAGGATCCCTCAGTGGCATCAGGCCATGTCTGAGGAATTGCCAGTCTTGCAGAAGATGCGTTTATTACCTTATTAGATATAGAGCGGTTGCAAACCTCTTCTTGACGGAAAGACCATTATTGAGGAAAATTTAGACTCACTTTTGGTATCGATTATGAGAAGACTTTTGTTCCTTCGTTCCCATTCATTCCCACTCAAATTAAAGCATCAGCCTTATGGTAGACGTCTATGGGATCAGTTTCATTGCTTTCTCTCCTCCGTGCATCCAACTCCTCAGAAATTCTGTGGAGTTCCATAGTATTGTTCTCTTGAGTTAGAGAGGATTTTGCTGACCATGCCCTCCTTTCTACTCTATTTCTATTTTATTCACTAGTTCTAATGTTGCCATTTCTACTTATTGTTTTTCCCAATTTATTATAGGCGGTGACAGATATTGGTTGAGCTCGGGGAATCGGAAATAGACGCATACGAAGGAGAATTCACCCTATATAGACGCCTTTTTAGAGGCTTTCCATGAGGGAACAAGTGTTGGAAAGAAGTCCAAACATCGAAGGTTGATTTCTCAATTTGAGGCACTTAGGATGAAGCAAAGTGAGACATTCACTAAATTCTATGCACGACTTGGTGACATAGTAAATTCATCTTTCCCTGTACGAAAGAAGTATAATGATATGGTCTAGCTTTAGAAGATATTGAGATATTTACCGGAGAGATTTCAATCTAAGGTCACCATAAAGATAGCAAAGAAACCTTATAGAGTTTGGGCGATGAGTTTGGATATCGGGAACTTACCAATGGCATGTTGTACGTTTGTTTTTTTCTGATAAGATGCGAATGTTATTTTTTTAATTTACAGGACATAAGAAAATTTTTCACTAAACACATGGTTAATGAGAATCTGGGTACGATCTGCAATGTTCATGTGGTTCACGCTGACCTCAGTGAATATGGAGCATTGGATGAGAAGTGCATCAAATTGGCAGAGCTTGTTGCCACAACAGTTGATTTCCCCAAAACTGGAAAGATTGTCACCATGCCATTTGAACTCAAACCGAAAATGTATCCCTACTTTATGGAGAACGAGGAATTTCAGTCGTACAAGTCAGAAAAAATTTTGGGCAAGCTATACTGCCAAGTCATAGATGCTAATGACAAAGAAGTGGTAGAGCTAAAATTTGTTCCTCAAGACATTCTTTATGATGCAGACCTTCACATCCCCGGATCCACAAATTTCATTACCGATGCGTGGAGCCATAAGTGCTCCTATGGTGGGCAGCTAAATGGACTTGTGGGACTGTATAAAGTGCGCAGAGAGGAAGAGATTGTGACTGGGCACATTTGGTCCCTGCCATAGTATAGTAGCAACAAGCAAGGGCAGCTGAAAGAGAGACTCAAACATGCTTACAGTGCCCTCAGGAAAGTTTTTGAGAAAATGGTCTCAGATTTCGATCAACTTTCTAATGACGAGAAGCATGCCATTTATGAACAAAAGGCATCTGCATGGTATCAAGTCACTTATCATCCTTGTTGGGGGAAGAAGTAGCCAGATGGGTGTAATACCCCACATGCGTTTAAAAAAAAAATAAAATAAAATAAAATAAAATAAAAAAAAATAAAAGACATAGGTGTTCAGTAATTATTTCATTTGAAATGATAAAATAGTATAACTCAAGGAAAGAGTAGTTAAAAGATTAGTTTCGGTATGAAAATGTACAAAATAAATCATAAAAGAACTTGAACTAATTAGGTCGATGTAGAAAAGTATGTAGGATAAGTTAGGATTAAAGTTGGAAGGATTGGAAGTGAAAAGGGGCGCCCAAATGGGCGCTGGGGCGCTGCTCCGGGTACATTGCCTACTCCGGACCAGTTGTCGTAGAATCGTCATAACTCTTGCTACAATGGTCCGATTGAGCTGAAATTTTGACACAATGCAGAAGACATCTAGATCTACAACTTTCATGTTTTGCACTTTTTCAGATTCAAAGTTTATCATGATCAAAAATAAGGAAAACAGTAAGTCTGGAAAACCCCCAAAACAGACGATGAACAGTAAAAGTCGGGATTTTTGGGTTTTAAAACACCCATTCCAAGCCCTATTTCTCCCATTCTTCATTTCCCTTCCACTCTAAATACCTTAGAGCCCTAAGAGAAGAGAAAAGGGAGAGAAAAACACCAAGGTCAAGAGAGATTCCCACCTCATAAAGATCAAAACCGAATTTCTCAAGTTTTCTCTTCTCCACCCATTTCTTTTTCTTCTATTCCTCAACCACTCACACCCAAATCTCTAGAAACCATAGGAGGATGAAATTAAGAGGAAAAGGAAGGAGAATAGGAAGATTTTGAATCTTGGGTCTTAGATTGAAGCTACAACCAAGAGGTAGGGGATTTCTTCCTAATTTCTTACATTGAGGCTATGGTTTATGTATATACATATGTTTTCCACTCCCATCCATATTTATTTGATATGATTTGTATGATTCTTAATTCTCCTTGTAATAAATGCTATGTTTGAATAATGGGATGGTTTGGTAACCATTAAATTTCTCTTTTTCATCTTCCAAGCTTGGTTTTAAGAAAAATTGAGTTTTCTCCATATATTGCCTTGGTTCTCACTTTATAAATTTAGTGTTCGATATTGTTCAACGAAAATGATCTTTATATTGATCTTTTGCTCATTTTAATTCCATCTTGCTATGACGCTTTACTTGTGAAATTTGGGTATTTTGCGATTAATTGGTAAAATGTGAATTGATTGAGAATATGTTGGTTTACTCATTGTATGGTGGTTGGGAGGGACTTGGATTACCTACGAGATATGCCGTAGAGTGTAAATGTCAGTTGAACCCAGTGGGGGGGGGGGAGATGGTTTCTTGCACTTGTAGTGAGTTGTCATTTGGTAATGCGACCACTATCGTACGCCTGGAGTTCGAACTAGGGTTGGTATACCATTCCTGGGGAGGGACTCGTCACTGCCATTGGGATGGTAGACGCCCCTTCCCTAAGTACTTGTGATTGTGATTATAAATGGGTGGACTAGGTATAATCGTTGGGTAGATTCATGAGAAACAATCAACATACATGGTACGGGGATGAACCAACATAAATGTGATGATTGGCTGGAATGGCTTGGCCGGTGCATTGGTATGGGACGATGCATCGGAGGGAGCCCCTCCTAATTGACTTAATGTTGGAAATGGTTTGCTATGGTTAAACTTAATTTATTTCTCTCCTTAACTACTGTATGGCTTAAACTTGAGATCTATTTAAAATGTCCCGTTTTACTTCAAATTCATATATGTTATTTATGAAATGTGACCGACCCGTTTTGTATTTTATAAACCTTGTTGGAGTTGGGAAGATTTTGCTACAGAGCCTAGTGCTCATCCCCTACTGTTAACATTTTTCAGACTATATCCTTGAGGAGGAGCCAGGAGTCGAGGAGCCCGTTCTTTGGGAGACTCCGATCGACGGGAGCGTAGATCCCGAGGTGGACGCCTAGAGCGGCCCTTCTATTTTGTTCTAGACTAGGCTATGTTTTTTTGAAAGATTGTAAAGTCTAGTTATCTTTTGAAATTCCGCTGCTTATCATAGTTTAATTCTTTGGGAATGTACATGCCATTGTGGGCATATTTTTTTGGGTTAACATGTAAATTTGATGGATTGATTATATAGTAGTTAATTGGACCCGGTGTGGTCATTATAGTAGAATTGCACAGGTTGGATTTTGTGGTAGAGCTCCCCGTACAAAGGAGACTCTGCCCGAATTTTGTTAAAATATCAATGGTTGATGGATAAAAATTTCTTATTTATGGATTTATTTAGTGCTCTCATGATTGTGAAAGGTTTTAGAATGTAATGCCGTCCGAGGGGGTATTTGGGGCGTTACAAAGTTTGGTATCAGAGCCTAGGCTTTAGGTCTTACATGGGAGCTGTAGGTTATGGACTACCACTAGAGATGTAGGTTTAGGGTGCAGGAAATGGTTGAGTTAATTTTTGTATATGCCTTGTGCTTAAATGAAGACATCCTACATATCATTTTAGTATGTCTTGTACATCAATGAAACTAAATTGTGAATTGATGTGCAGGATGGACGGTGAACGTGTACGTGGACGTGGACGTGGGCGTGGCCGTGGCCGTGGAGGTCAAACATATCCACCACCACCACCACCTCCCGATGCCATGGATGGCATATACCAATGCTTGAGGGAGCTCACCACTTTGGTACAAAACCAAAATGGTAACAACAACCACCACAACCATAATGGTGGAGCACATCCTTTAGCCCAAGTACCGGGCAACGGAGAGGAGACTAGGAGAATGGTAGCTCTCCGAGAGTTTCTGAGGCAACACCCACCTACTTTCCAAGGGAGCTCCAATCCCTTGGATGCGGATAAATGGATCCGCCGTGTGAAGAAGATGTTGGACGGAATGGGAGTGGCCGAGGACTTGCGGGTTGGCTTGGCTATCTATTTGTTGGAGGGGGAAGCCGACCATTGGTGGGACTCGGTGAAAAGGAAAATGAACACGGATGCTCTCACTTGGGCGGAGTTTGATCAAGTCTTCCAAGACAAGTACTTCCCGGAATCGGTCCGAGATCGAATGAAGACCGATTTTCTTATTCTACGACAGGGCAGCCTGACTTTAGCTGAATACGAGAGGAAGTTTGATGAGCTATCCCGCTATGCTACGGAGTTCATATCTACGGAGGCCAACAGGGCCAAACGCTTTGAGCAGGGATTGAGGCCTGCCATTAGGGAGAAGCTGGTGGCTCTCAGGATCCGGGACTACGGGGATTTGGTGGACAGAGCTGCACTTGTAGAGAAGGACATGGAGGATACTCAGCGACGACAGGGCCTTATGAGGGGAGGTCCGATCCGGACGGGTGCTAGTAGCAGTGGAGCACAGAGGGCGGCACCCTACCGTCGCTCGGATCAGGCAGGGGGACAGAGACCCCAGATGGGTCGAGGAGCAGGAGGCGTATCGGGGAGGACAGCCACCGACCCCCGTCAGTGCTTCGCATGTGGAGGAGTGGGGCACTTCAGACACAATTGCCCATCTCTCCCACCGAGAGACAACCAGGTGACAAGACAAGTGGCTGCAAATAAGCCACTACAGCAGCAGAGGCCTGTAGGAGCTCCAGCCCCAGGTGGCGCCACTCAGGGGAGAGTCTTTGCCTTGACCCAACCGGAGGAGGATGCCTCCAACGCAGTTGTTGATGGTATAATTCTCCTCTATAATTCTTGGGCCCGAATCTTATTCGATCCCGGTGCTACTCATTCTTTTATACGTACTGCATATGCTATGAATTTGGGATTGGGTTTCGAGAAGTTAGAGCATGCCTTGACGGTTGACTTGCCTACGGGAGGACAGTTGGGTACTAGCCGAGTTTGCAAGGGTTGTGTGCTTCGTATTGGGGAGCACGAATTAATTGTGGACTTGATTGCTTTAGAAATGAAGGGGTATGATGTGATTTTCGGAATGGACTTGTTGTCCGCTTTCCGGGCGGTAATGGATTGTTTCCGCAAACGGATTACATTTCAGTTACCGGGAGGAGTCGTTTTCAGTTTTATTAATAACCGAGATTCTTCTCATCCATTCCCTACGACGGGTAGTAGATTCTTAAAAGCGAAAGCGGGAAGTCATTTGAGTTTCTTAGCTAGCTTAATGGGAGAAAACCGGGATAAAATTCATACGGATGTAGTGCAAATTGTATCGGAGTTTTCGGATGTTTTTCCCGAGGAATTACCCGGATTACCGCCACATAGGGAAATTGAGTTCAAGATCGAACTCTATCCTGGAACCGAACCTATGTCCATTGCTCCCTACCGGATGGCACCTTTGGAGTTGAAGGAGCTAAGGAAGCAATTGGATCACTTGTTAGCGATTGGGTTTATCCGTCTAAGCACTTCACCTTGGGGAGCCCCAGTCCTCTTTGTGAAGAAAACGGATGAGACCCTACGGTTGTGCACGGATTATCGGAGGTTGAATCGGGTTACCGTGAAGAATAAGTATCCGTTGCCGAGAATTGATGACTTATTTGATCAGTTGAAGGGTTCGAAGTATTACTCCAAGATTGATCTTCGCACGGGATATCATCAGCTGCGAATTAAGGAGGAGGATATTCCTAAGACTGCTTTCCGTACCCGTTATGGTCATTTCGAATATACGGTGATGCCGTTCGGATTGACTAACGCCCCCGCAGCATTCATGGATTTGATGCACAGAATCTTCCGGCCTTACCTCGATCAATTTGTCATTGTGTTCATTGATGACATATTGATCTACTCACAGACTCAGGAGGAACATGCTCGTCATCTCTCTATTGTGCTACAAACATTGAGAGAACATAAGCT